ACTGTAGCATTTTTTAATGATTGGAAACAACCTAACTCTCCATCAATAGGGAATCTTCTTATAAATTATCTGGTGGAGTACTATGCAGTTATTAAAAAGAAGCTTAGGAAAAAGAAGTTATTAAAAATGAAGCAGCTCTACTGAAGGTTGTGTGCTCTTACAAAATGGTTGTGAGATACAATGTTAAGTGGAAAAGTAAGATATAAGACCGTGTGTGAGGCATGCTGTCTTTTTGCGAAGTGTGTGTGTGTGTGTGTGTGTGTATCTTCGCCTATGCAGAATAATTCTGGAAGAATGGTTAGGAAATTGGAAATAGTGGTTGCCTTCTGGGGGCTGATGTCTAACACACACAGTAGGTGCTCAATGAATACCTGTCATTGGAGGCTCCACTCTGGCCAAGAGCTGCTTATGACCAAGCATGAAATAAAAGTTTATGTATCCAATTATTCTTAATCCCCAAAGTTGACACCGGGGCCCAGGTCAGAATTCCCAGTCTTTATGGAGGGAAAGTCCATCCACAGCAAACATCTTTGCAGCCTGATGCAGCCAGGTGGGTTACGGCAAGCCACGGGAAGAGCAGCCTCGGCTCTTACTTCAAAATGTCAGGAGAAGAAACTCACCAGCCACTTAGCGTCCCACAGGAGTACTTTAAAATGTTTCCTAGAGGGGCGCCTGGGTGGCGCAGTCGGTTAAGCGTCCGACTTCAGCCAGGTCACGATCTCGCGGTCCGTGAGTTCGAGCCCCGCGTCGGGCTCTGGGCTGACAGCTCAGAGCCTGGAGCCTGTTTCCAATCCTGTGTCTCCCTCTCTCTCTGCCCCTCCCCCGTTCATGCTCTGTCTCTCTCTGTCCCAAAAATAAATAAACGTTGAAAAAAAAAAATAAAATGTTTCCTAGACACCATCTACCAGGAAGTAATATTCTTCTCAATAAAAAATAAATGTAAAAGTGGCCCAGACAAAAACCTCAGTAAAAACTCAGACTCCTTCCTCAAAATCACAGGAGAGAGCCAAAATCTAAAATGCCTTCTTTTCCTTGTTAATTTTTAATTTTTTTTTTTTTCTAATCAAAGAAGTATAGTGCCTCATACTGGCAAAACCACTCCCTTCTGAGGCCACAGCTGGATGGCTCATCCTCCCGCATCATCCGCTTGCCCTGAAGCTGACTGGCTTGGACTCCAACTCCGGGGTCTGTTTTCCAAAATGGCAGCAAGGTACGAACTGAATAAACTAAATATACTAGTAGTGGACACAGGGTAAGAACCCAGTGAGATAGATTTTCCAAGAGTTGAATCTTATTAAAATCAAACGAACAACAAAGACTATGAAACAAACATCATGACAAATAGTACCTTTATGGCACTCACTAGGTTCCGGATGCCGCTGTGGGCACTTTACCAAAACTAACATGATCTTCCTGACAACCCAAGGAGGTCAGTATTAGGATTGTCTTCCCTTCACAGATGAAGAAACTGAGGCTACTTAACTTTCCCCAGGTGTACGTTTAATAAGCAATGGCCAGAATTGCAGCCCAGGGTCTGGCTCTAGAATCGTGCTCCCACCCACATGCTGGTGACCAGAGGGAGGTAAGGCGCTGAGACCAGCCAATAAGGAGATGGTTTAAAGTCCAGGCGGTACAGAAATCAGACGTGATGTGGACCCCCTCCTGCTCCAGACACACCAAAGTCCTGGATAAAATACAGACAGAAATGTTGTAAATTTTGAGACACGTCGAAAAAAAAAAAGAAATAAAACTCCCCAGGTGTCAGAGGCATGGACTATAAAATGGAACCTCCAAGCACTGGAGAGCCAGGGGGATGTAGGTCCTGGACATGGGTGCTGGTGGCCAGCGCACAAACAGCACACACAGTGTGGAGCCCAAGTTTGCAGATGGGAGACCCTGCCTCTAACAAGCCGTGGGAGGACCTGCCCCCTCCGGGAGGAGAAGATTGGAAAATCTTTCCCGATGGTTCAGGGAAATGGCCAAGAGATGTATCAGGTGCCTGGGCACCAGAGGAGAAATGTCTCCTGTGTGAAGTTGAAATCCCAAAACTGAGCCTCCCACAGAGGTGAAATCTGAATGTGAGCTACCCGTGGGAGGCTGGAGCTCCAGGCTGAGGAATTCTTATGAAATCGTTCACAAACCAGGGAGCCCTGGATGCTCCCCAAAGAAGCAAATGCAGACCCCTTAGGGCGACAGGGCTCCGACCGAGAAGACTGACCACCACGGAAGAGAAGTCAAAGCAAAGCAAAAAGCCTTTGGAAGACAGGCAGTCAGCCTGCAGCTCGCAGAAGGGCTCCTTCCCTGCTTTATTTTTCTTCAGCACACTCATGTGCTGGGTTTTCAATTGCCAACACCCTCCCCCCACCCCCTCTGTCACTGGAATTTAAGCTCCAGTGTTGAGATTGTGTTGTTTCATCTCTCCATCCCCAATGCCTACAATAGCGGCTACTACATCCTAGGCATTCAATGATTATTTATTGGACATTGTTAAAACCAGGAATGCATGTTGACCATGGCTATGTGTGCAGATAGCGCATGAAACCTGAGCGGCGTGGAATTTAGCAATGTCGGGAGAGAGGGTCCCTCAGGGCAGAGAGAAGGCAAAGGCTGGGAATAGTTGGTGATGCTTCATCCAACTCTACCCAAAGCAGATTATTTCTTTAAAAAAGCGATCTGAAGGGGTGGCTGGGTGGCTAAGTTGGTTGAGCGTCTGTCCAACTTGGGCTCAGGTCACCATCTCACCATTCATGAGCTCCAGCCCTGCATTGTCTCTGCCGTCAGCACAGAGCCTACTTGTAATCCTCTGTCACCATCTCTCTCTGCATGCCCCCCTCTCTCTCAAAAATAAAATAAGCATAATAAAATAAAATAAAATGAATGACTAAAGATTTTTTTTTAATTAAAAAGTAAAAAGTCATCTGAAGCCTTCTGGCAAAACATTAACATTTGTTACATCTGGATGGTGGGCACTGTATTCTCTGTGCTTTTCTGTGTGTTTGGAGTATTTCCTAACTTAAAACAAAAATAACTGGAGGAAGGTATTTGGGGAATGAAGGGATGCCTCCAAGCACCCCATGGGGCCTTCAGGCTGTGCCTGATCCTACATCTGAATTCAGACCACAGGACTGATTAAGTCCAAGAGCCCTGGGCAGGAGGCCTAGTCTCAGCATTCAGATTTTTTGGTTGCAGAGATGAGCAGCAGAGGGGATCCAGTCTCAGAGAAAGCAACCGCCCCAGGAAAACCCCCCTGGGATAAAGACTGGCTCAGCAGAGGTGAGTTGAAGGTGAATGGGGGAGGGGCAGAGAGAGAGGGAGACACAGAATCGGAAACAGGCTCCAGGCTCTGAGCCATCAGCCCAGAGCCGGATGCGGGGCTCGAACTCATGGACCGCGAGATTGTGACCTGGCTGAAGTCGGACGCTTAACCGACTGCGCCACCCAGGCGCCCCTAGATTTTTCACATTTAAAGTTGTTTTAGTCAACAGGTACTAACTGAATATCCAATGCAACAGTTTTCAAAGTATGGCTCCAGACCCATGGGATGCTTTCCAGGGTCCACAGTGGCAAAACTATTTGCTTAGTATTGCTAGACTTTATCTGCCTTTCTCATTCTCTTTCTCTCTTGAGTAGAGAGCACAGTAGAATTTTGCAGAGAATCCATGTTGGGGGTTGATGCAAGATCGAATACAGAAGCAGATGTGGGAATCTGGCTTTTCACTATCACACAACATACCGAAGAGATTTACAAAAATGTAAAGCAGTGCCAGTCTTCTCGCTAAATTTAAATCAAATCACTCCTCTTGCTACACTTCTTTGTATCAGAAAATATACTTATTTTTCATAAAAATATAGTTTATGTTAATAGGTTCTAAATTATTGTTCTAAATAAATTAATTCATTGTTTCAATTTTTCTTCATTTTAGTTTCTAATGGGTTAAATATGTTACATATAATCAACCTCAAAAAAAAAACCTAACAACTCTTTGGAGTCCTCAATACTTTTAAGAATGTGAAAGTCGGGGCGCCTGGGTGGCTCAGTCGGTTGAGCATCCGACTTCAGCCCAGGTCATGATCTCGTGGTCCGTGGGTTCGAGCCCCACATCGGGCTCTTTGCTGACAGCTGGGAGCCTGAAGCCTGTTTCAGATTTTGTGTCTCCCTCTCTCTCTGACCCTCCCCTGTTCATGCTCTGTCCCTCTCTGTCTCAAAATAAACATTAAAAAAAAAAATTAAAAAAAAAAAAAAAAGAATGTGAAAGTCTTCTGAGACCAACAAGTTTGAGAAGCTCTGTTCTAGTGCATACTAAGCTTGAGGAAACCGAGATAAGTGAACTTGTAACTCAATGAGGCAAGCCATCCAAGAGGCCCACCACCCATAACTCTTTCCCCCTCTATGTGGCATGCTATGATTCTGTATGGGGGCCACTCACATATAGGTAACGTGAAAGGAAGAGCCTGATAACTGAGAGATCAGGTCATTTACTCGATATTTTACTCGATTCAAAGTAAAATCAGGATATTCAAACCAGGATATTTTACTCAATTCAAAAGGAACATGCAGTTCGTGATTATGCTGTCACAGTCATACTGAGACAGTCATAGGCAAATCAGTACCTACCGTAACCCTACAGAAAAGTTTATTTGTGCTCATGAAAATAACTGGAAATACAGGTTGGGAACATCTCTGTGGACGGAAGAAAGACATTTGGCTGCTATACATGATGTGGGTGAGGATCCTGAGGACTTAGGGGAGGGATGGCTGGGATGAGGCCCAGAGAGGGGGTTCCAGCCAAAGAGTGAGTGGAGGCAAGAAAGAAGTAGGGCATCCCCTTAGCTGGGCCTGGCATCCTTGGGGTCAGGCTCTCCTGAGTCCTGGTACAGCCAGGCCCTTTCCAGCTAATTGTCCTTTACTAACAATTGAAAAAAGAACAAACAAAAATGACTCTGGGATACACAGTGGAAGGATGTTGGACAAAGGGGACTAATTTTAAGAATTTTTGCAGGTACCAGGTGAACAGAGAAGGACCCCCTCTTCATGTGGACTTGACCGCCTCATCACCCTCCAAGAGGAGGAGGGTAAGTCTATCCCATTGATTGGGCTGTCATTTTATTTCATTTCTTTGCAAGCTTCTAAGTTAACTTCAAAGATGCCCTGGCAAGTGGAGTTTTAGAAATGTCACGTATTTTTATTGTCCTGAAGTGAGCAGGAGCGAGTGGTTGTCAAATGGAGAAATAGGAAGCACCATTTCCAGATTTGTCCCGGGAAGTTGACAGCTTTTGACAAAGAATACAGATGATGCCACCTCCCATCAGCTGAGTACCATATGCCTCAGCATCATCCGAACCTGGCATGGAAATGAGCTCAGAGCCCAGCTGTTTGCAGCTGACCAACTGCATTTGCTCTGTTCCCAGAGGTGCAATGTCTCGGGAGGGCCCAGGGACAGATCGACACCCCATCTCAAGTTTTGGCCAGCTCTAAACCGCCGGCCAGGAGACCTGAGATCCAAACCCATCTCAGTCACTGGTTGGCTGTGGGTCTTGCCTTTTAATTTACATTTTTTGCATCAGACAATTGTAGATAATAGTCTTTCTAGGATCTGGTGATGATTACAGGTGAGTTTGTCTAAGTGTTTGGAAGCTATCGATAATGTAAGGCAGTACTGTGTGTATTACAGACAAAATAAACCCTGCGGCAGAGATTTCCTAAAAGCCAGCAGAATGTCAAATAATGATTTGGTCACTATTTAGGAAACGATCTCCATTCTTTTAATGGCCACAGGAGACTAAAAAAGAAGGAAGAGAGGGAGGAAGGGAAGGCGGAGGAAGAGTGTGAAGATAAAATTAGGCAGACAAGATTGGTTCCCTCAACTCGGAATTCAATCCTGTCATCTCCTTGACAACTGGCCCTGCCGAGGGACAGGGGGCAGAGGTCAGGTCCCAGGGGTCCACCTGCCTCAGCAGAAATCCAAGCCTGGGGCCTGCCTGGTCCGGCAAACTGGAAAACCTGAAGTGGGAAGATCCTGGCCAGCCTGCATGCGGCCGCCTCCCCCTCGTCTGACTGTGGGAAGAGCCGGATGCACAGAGCTACTGCCTCCTGGGGGCCCTGGGCTGGGAGGAGGCATCCACAGGCGAGCCTGTGCAGGCCCCGCTAAGATTATCAGGAAATTCTGTCCTGGACTCGGAGTCTAGAGAATCTTCCCCGAGCTCTGTCCTCTGAGAAACAATGGCATCGGTGCCCTCTCCCCTTCCGCATCAGTCAGAGAAATGATGCTACGCAGCCCCGGCAGTGCTATGACCAGTGGCAGCTCCTGTGACCCTCCCCACTCTGGGCCTGGTCTCCGGTGGGCAGGGCTGGGTCTCAAGGTGACCGTCCAGCCCCGGTCTGGGCAGCTGTGTATAAGGTTCCTCAGGCTGGCGAGCAGTGTTCAGAGCCACAGTTAGACCGGAGCGTCATCATTGCTCCCCTCTCTGCAGCATCCAACTTTCCTTTGTCTTCTGATTAAATCATCTGGAGTATGCTTACATTGCAGAGTCAACTTCGAAGTTTGCAGGAACTTTTAAGGAAAAACCTCAAAGAAACTTCGCACTTGCTAGGCCATATGGCTTGATCCCAGAACGCACAAGCTCGCGCCCTGCTGCCTTTAGGATGTTTTGTGGGAAAAAATGTGAAAATGGCAGGTCTGATGTGTTGCCTTTCTCGTGGATACTTGCTTTTTAAGAGGACTGCAGGGAGAAAAGCACATAAACCTCCCTGGAATGAAATTAGAGAGAAATAAGTGAAAATGATGGTTGAACCTTAGATACTGGAGATCAGGCAGTGCCGGGAGTAGGAGGAATTTGGGGCCCCTCTACTCATGCCATGCAGACAAATAATAGTGAAATAGTAGCTACGATTTGTTGGGCACCTGCCAGACAGATACAGCATCTGCTGATAGGTATCGTCATCCCACCTTATCAATGACAAAACTGACCCTCAGAGCCATTAAGCCACCCACCTAGCAGGTAAGATTTGCATTCAGGTTGCCAGGGCCCTGTTCTCCCTCTACCACAAAGGGGCCCTTCTCAGGAGTGAGACCTGGCTGTCGACAGAAGACTCACCCAGAAAAAGAGTGACAAGACAAATCAGCCTCTGTCCCCAAGAGCCCCCAGGTGAGAAATGGCCCTTTGAGACAGGAACTCCAGGGCAAATCAGGAAGGTCAGGCGGGCGAAGCCCACAGGAAGCTAATCCCCAGTGAGGGCGGGGTCTGGACTGGCATCCTTAAGTGAATTCTCTTGCTTTTGTGGCTTCCCACTAACCTGCTTACTGTCAACAGAGTGGCCGCTCCTATTTGTTAAGGTCCAGAAACAGGCCATGATTAGGTTTCCGGCCAGTCATATACATTATACCTGGATTATATCTGGGTTAATCGTCCAAAGCTGGGTAAACGTTCTTCCTCTGCGATGGGCCCTGTGCCCTCCGAAGGCTGAACCTGTCTTTCTGACAGACTTGGCCCGGGTGAGTTGTGAGGGGCAGGGGGACTTCTGTCGGACACCTAGTCCATGGCACCAGAGAGAACGGGCAGTAATTAGAAGAACAGCCCAGCAATTGCACCTTTCTAAAACAACTGCCTGGACAAACTAGCCTTTTGGAAAAACAAATGGCAGGAAAAATAAAGAGGGTGATGTCCTGGCACCGGGCTCCCCTGAGTGGAAGCCCCCAGACCCTCACTGTCCTGACTCTACCAGGCTGAATGTACTGTCCCACCCTGTGTCTCTTCTAAGAGCCAGTTACAACCCTTCCAAATCTCTCTTGAGTCTCATTACTATGCAGACCAATTTTTCATTCATCTGGAATCCACTATAGCATTTTAATGTGGAAAGCCTGCGACTCCATTTCTCTCCCCTGAAGAAAAATGGCTTAATTTCTCCAGCTGATAGATTTTTTTTCTGATCACTCAGACAGTAGAAAAAGACCCTGGAAAATCAGCTGTTGGACTATCCACAGACATTTTATGATGGCCATAAACAGGGCTGTGGCAGGGTGACAAACCAGGCAGCATCCTGATCGGTGGCCTCAATACTGCTATTATCAACCTCCTGCAAAAATGATGGTTAGATAGATAAATAGGTGGATAGATGATAGACGAGAGATAGAGAACTAGATGATAGGTAGGTAGATGATAGATAGATGATAGATGGATAGATAGGGAAAGAGATGATAGGTGGGTGGATGGATGGATGGATGGATGGGTGGGTGGATGGATAAACCATAATAGAAGCTGTGGCCTCTCCACCATATTTGAAGAATATAATCCCTCCCTATATTTCTCCCTGCAGACATGTGAGACCTTCTGATACAAAATCAGTCCAGACTCCCCTACCTACCCACCCACCCCCAAATTGAGACAGATTTCATCAACAGGGGAAAAATCTATTTAGGAAGGAAATTAGAGGCAAAATTGGGGTTAATCATTTTAGCTATTTTCTACCGTTCAACCCACAAGGCTCAGATGAATGAAATCAGTCCATCCTGTCTAGGGTTCTTCCTCTGAGGCTGAAGATGGCCTGGTCTGGCCTGGGGCAGAAGGGGGCCATGGGCAGAGGAAGGCCAGGCCCACTTCTGGATGAAAGGACTGGAATTTCGTTAGAAGAATGTGGTAGTGGTAGCTCAAGGCATAGACGCTGGAGCCCAACCACTTGTGTTCAAATCTCAGATCTGCTACACACTGACGTTGTAACTTGAGCAAGTTACTTAACTTCTCTGTGCCTCAGTTCCCCCACTGATAAGATGGGGGAGAATAACAGTACGTACCTCATACAGTTGTGAGGATTTAGTGAGTTGATATGCATAAAGTGCTTAAAGTAGGGGTTGGCATGTATGGGGGGTAAGTTAAACCTCCTGCCTAGACACCCTTGATAAAGAGCATGTTCATTACACAAAAGATGAGACTTTAACCCCAACAAGAAGATAATCAAATTTAATTAACTCAGCCTTAGGTTCAAGCTGAAGGTTGCACTTAAGTATTTCCCTTTTCCCTTATACTGTTTATTGATCTTGCCTAAGATCCAAAGCAGCACTCATTCAAAGCAATAGCACAAACTGGGTCAGGACTCTGAATATAGGGGAAGTGAATTCTATGTCTCAGGGCCCTAGGCCAAGCCCTCATTCCAAAGGCTTGTACCTCCAAGGCCAAATTCTCTACCTTCAGCTGCCGTGGCCGTGGAAGAGCCACTGGGCAGGTCGCTGACCATCAGAACCCCAGAGTTGTTGAACAGCCGGCTCTCCCTGCTGGCTTGCAGTCACGATGACCTGGGACATTTTGTCTTTGGAGAACAGGATGTAAAACTAGCATGTGTCAGTATGATGGAGTACGATGTTGCCATAAAAAATGATAAGCATGTGGGTTGTGTCAATATATGGAAATGAGTATGTGAAATAATGTTAAATGGAAACAAGCAGAACACCCAGTAGTTGGCCCACACTATTATAAGTCATCAATAATTACATCTGCACACTCATAAGCAAGGGCTAGATGCAAATTTAGAGTGGTATAAATAGAGGATTATTTACTGGAATTTCTTTTTCTTCCATAGAATCCTATGTATTTTTTATCTTTTTAATGAGAAGAACAGGAAGTTTGGACTCAGACCAACTAGAGGAGCATTTAGCTGCTGACACAGTCGCTTAGACAGGAAGGGACATTTGCAGTGGTTGAAAATATGCATCTGAAAACAGAGTTTGGTGAGCTATGTAGACCCTGCCTCTGCCCGACCGGCTGCAGCCCCAGGCTGGGTGGGGACTTAAGCATCATTCTCCCAGGTGGACTGAGAATCAAGCCCAGGAATGGAGAATCCAGAAGAGGCTTCAAATGGACACAGGATTTCCTCTTTACTAATTTCACACTTTGCCTTAAAGAAGAGTGATCACATTGTCTTCATTTGTCCAGGCACAGCCCTGGTTGTGATACCATTGTCCTAGTATAATTATTAATAACGTGCCCTTTTATCTCAAAAGTATCCCTGTCCAGATAATAAAGTATAAGGTCATCCTACTTAAAGAGGCCACGCGAGCCCCAGATTGCTGCCTAGCAAGGGAGGCATGTCTGTTTCTATAGGCACCTGGAATACTTGTACACAGCGGCTCTCCTCACCTTGTATTGACCAGGGAATCAGGATGGCATTTCTGTCCCCTTTTTACAAGGAATCTAGCTGTGGGTACATGTTGGGATTGCAGGCAGTACTCAACTGGAGCTGGCTGGTAGCAGGTCCATGAGAACCAACCAAGCACATTTTCCCAACATCACATTCAATGACGTCATGTTAGTAGCTTGAGATCAGCACCAATGGGAGTACTTACACCATAGAAATCAGAAAACGCCACAAACCTGAGCTTTTCTTCCTTTCCACACCACCGCCTCCAGGGAGCTGGTTGTAAAATATTTAGTAGCACACCACGGATTGCTGAAGTTGGTAAAGCCAGAATGTAAACCATCTTATGGGGCTATCTGATCAGATAGGTCCACATTTACCCTCCAACCAAATCTCACAGCCACATTTCACACACAACACCAAGGAATAACCAGAATATAATGGAATATGGTGATCCCTTGCAGAAGAGAGAAATGGAAAAGCATCTCTTTTTATTTTCCATACGCATTAGAAACAGAAGAAGAATGCAAACACAAATCAATTCAATTGTCTTGGAATATGACAGCTTGACTCACAGCCAGCTCATCCACTACCTGACAAGGTTGTTTGCATACTATTAAAGCAGATGACTAGTGTGCTCCTGATGCAGTATTGAGTCTCCTTGTGATGACAGCTTTTGAATCTCAACCCTTGCCTCATAATGCAAGTCACTGAAAACCCCTGCCCCCAATGGACACCATAATATGGGTGTCACTACACAAAATGGCTTATTCTTTGGCACCAACAATGTCTTGTTAATTTTCCCCCCTCACACCCCCTCCTCCCGTGGCTCCTCATTAAAGCCCTTTATGAAAGTCACATGAACCAAAAATTATGAAATCCTAGAAATGAGAACAGACCATGGCAAATTTTTCTTCAACCCTCTGGCTATTCCAGAATGCTCCCTGACAACCTTTAATTTTTTTTTTCTTGGTGACAGTTCTACTACCCCAAAGTTTCCTCAAAGTTTAATGTTCTTTAGTTATTTACTTGCTAGTTCCTCCCACCACCCTGTGAGCCCTCTAAGAGTGGGCACAGTGCCAGGCTCCACGACCAACTGCATGTATAGTGCTTACTACAGTGAGGGCAAAGAGCAGTCTTAGCCTTTGTTGAAAGCTTGGATGATGGTCATACTTAACACCATGATCACTATGATTGCTAATTTGTTAGTTACATTTATCACATGCAAATCCTTGCACCTACCTCAGGTATACTCAGTTCTCCCAAGAGACATTTATCTAATTATGTCACCACCTAACCAGCAGCCAGAGCACATGCTTTTTCAAGGTTCAATCAAGTTCTAAGAATTTAAAGTTCTATGGTGATTTAAAGGTCAGATTATTAGGGCAAAAAAGACTCTGAGACAGGAACATTTCCTATTAGTGGCTATATAATAAGAGTTGGATCCAATATAATCTCATTATGTGAGCTGATACAACCTTTAAAAGAGGGGAGAAGAGAATAGAGAACAAAGATTCTAGTTATGGGCAATAACATGGATTTCCACATTACGTCTAGATTTCTTCATGTCCACGACAGTCAACTTTAAACTAAATAAGCATTTGAAGAAAATGCTTGTACACTTTAAATAACACTGTGTTTCTATAAACCTATAATCTACAATGAAGGACCTGGGATTACATTCTCCAGACATGTGTCCCTCTCCTTTGGCACAGTAGGAGTCTTATTTATCAGGGACTGACATAATTCTTTCTCTGGATGTCTGTGCTATAAATGGCGTCCTCAGTACCTTCACAGAAGCTCCTTAAATGTCTGCTTGTGTTTCAGAATGGCAGTTAGATCATATATCAATACATGATCTTCTCATAACAGATCACCTGCCCTTGTACATTCCAAACTTGACAAAATGTGGTATTTGATTCTAACCCATCACTCATGGGTAGTGTGACAACTCTTCAAAGAAAGAGTTGAACTCTATATAGCTCCTTTCTTACCTAAATGCTTTTTATGGACATCAATAATATAAACTCAGGTGAAGTTTTCTGAAATTCAGCTTCATTTTTTCATTAATTCTGATAAATAATTGACCAATTTTCTGGACTTGTGGTTCATTCATCTCTATAGTCAGTTCTGAGGATATTTCTTTTCAAACATATTTTCTGAGCTTCTCACTAGGTTGTGTGTTGTGGGTTAGGTTGTATTTAAGAATTCTCTTTTTTTCCTCTGTATCTGGATTAACCTTAGACTTTAAAATTGGCACTTAAGTGAAGTTCAGTTCCAAATAATTGTAACATAGAACTGATTTTTGGATTACGACAATGCATTAAGGAGCAGACAGTAAAATCACACTGTGTCTCAGATTTAATTCATTTGATAGTTATTTGGGGACACCCATGGGTTCAGGAGGCTGAATCTCTTTGGGATACTAGTGTCTTTTTTTTTTCTTTTCCCTTCCAAATACCTATCCTAATTTATTGTCTCAATGAAATGTGAAAGCCAAAATCTCAGTGGACCTCATTTTAATTTCTACTCTAGTCCAAGGGTTCCACTTATTGGATTCCACTTCCAATTCCTAAGAGGGCATATAAGAAATTTTCTGGCTTGGGCAAAATTCTTCACAAAGTCATAGAGCTAATACGAACCTCAGAGATCATATAGTTCAATATCCTCATTTCACAGATGAGAAAACCAGGGTTTAGAAAGGTCAAGTGATCTGACCAAGGTCACTCAGCACATTAGCGGCAGAGCTAAGGCAAATCTCATCCTGTGTTCTGTTCATCACACCACACTCTCTGCCTTGTATATAGACCATCTTGCTGCTACCGTCTCCTATGTCTTATACTCTCTTGTATTTATCCTCCACTTCCCATGATTTGGCTATTTTCTGACCACCTATTTTATAGCTGGGCCATACATTTTACCATGAAACTTACATTTTCACCTATTTGTAACTAATTGCCTTCATTGATTGCTGTATAAGGCCGATGCTCTTATGTTTGTTTACATCCATGGTTTCTGGTTTCTGCTTTTACCCTGACACTTAAATCCAGGGTATGTTGCCTAGGAAATGCCCTGGATATTAGTAGATACTCCCTTACTTCTTCCTTCCTAGATTCCTTACTCTCTTCTAATTTTCAACCCACTGCCAGTCCCAGACCCTTAACTTTGAGATATTTTTGGTTCTTCTAATCTTGGCCACTTTATGGATTTACTGTCGCTGTCCACGGTGCTGATATTAGCAACAGTAGTGACTGGACAGCCTGAGTAGGAGATGCAGTTAAGTGTTCTCTATAACACACCTGATTATTTTGATGGACTATTTGACCAAAAAAAAAAAAAAAAAAAGTAAAATAATAATTAAGATTATAAATATTCATATATACTTAACAGACATGTCAAAGTTGGCTCCCCTTTTTAATGATTTAAGTGGGTGGTGGCTAGTGATATGTTGGTAAATGTTTAAAATCTCTAAGCATTTTTCAGAGAAAACAAACATGACTTGTGTTTTCTAATTTCAACGATATAAATAGTTCTCCCACCATGGCTGACTTCAAGCAACTCATGAGATGGCACTGAATACGAAAGTGGGAGGACATATACACAATCAGGTGCTATGAGCTAGTGTACAAGCTGACTCTATCACACCATTGATCATAGTTCAATATCACATCTCAAGTTGCCCAAACTGCATCTTACCCAAGGTGTGGCATACCTAAAGTGGTTCAGGGCAAAAACATCTGGAAGGAAATGTCCCTAAGGTAAAGCCATCTAGTGAGATCTGAGTGTAAAGCCAAGAGAACAATACACATCTAGAACACAACAAGGCAGACACAGTTACTCAAAAAAGGACAAATATAGATATTTTTATAAGTATTTAAAAAAGGAGGAATGGATTAGGATATACCTGAGCTTGGTGCTGTAGAAAAAAAAGTTGGAGATCGATCTGTCCTCATGATCTGTGGTGGGTGGGGTGTAAGGACATTACATGGACTTAAAGGTACATGGACAAGAAAAGCACCCACCATGTGTCCAGGGGCAATATTTTCTCAGCTCTGGATCTGAAGGGTGATATACAAGTTCTAGGAAGTCTGTTGAAGTTCATTTTGCAATCGCACATAAAATTCCATTTTTGTAAACACTATTTTTATTTCCAGTTTATTTTTAAATTGAAAAGCTATTTTAATATTGTAACAATGATAATAATTGGGACTCTCTTTGCGTTATAAATGATAGAGACCAACCCAACCTAGAAAAATGAGACATTAATTGGGAGGGAATTTGTCATACTTCACAGAGACACTAAAAGGACAAGAATTCACTTGAGATGCAAGAACAGTCTGTACTAAGAATGTGACAATATCAAGGCTGTTATTTGTCCCTTATCTCTTCTTCACTCGGGTGTCAGCTACGTTCCTCCACCTCTCCAAAGTCTCCATTTCTCCACATAGCAGAGAACTAGGTATGTCTCCAACTTTGGAACTTATAGCCACAGCAGGGGGGAAATGATTGAACCCTTTTCATTCCAGATCCAAGAATCTCAAAGAACAGATTCAATGTCTTAAATATAGCAACATTTTTCTCCTGTGACTAACCAACTGTTGTCAAGGTGTAAGATAACATGAGAACCATGTAGCAGGAGAGGAAGTTCCCAGGCAAGGGATGTTGTTGGGCTGGAAATCCAATAGGTGTCTACCCTGCTATCTATTTCTACATGTCAGATGATTGCACCACGGTACTAGAGCTCTCCGGATGTGATTCTTAACAAACTATAATTGATAATGAGTAAAGGCTCGCATAAAACCAAATACTTGGAGCAACTCACTGAGTTTTTTGAAAGTACTGCTACTGAGTACTGGGCCATTTTTTCC